GCGTGCGGGGGCACCCGGCGCCGGGGGCCCCCGGGGAGCCATGGCAGGGCCCGGCCTGCGGCTGGGAACGGGGACACGGCGTCCTGCTACCTCCTCTGCCCGCTCTGCCTGCGGGCAGCGGGCAGCCCCTGCCTCAGTTTCCCTGCCCCGGGCCAGGCAGCCGGCGCTGCCCCCCTGCCCGGCAGGAGGAAGAGGAGGGCAGAGGCTGTGCTTCCTCCGCGCTCTATTTCGGGCTGACCTGTGCTGCTCCTTTGGCCCAGGTGGAGCCGGGCAGGACGCCTGCCTCGTCCCCAGCGGGCTCGGCTGCTGGCGGGGGCCAGGGGACATCGCTCACTGTGGGGACAGCTGTGGAGGCCACACGCTGTCCCCTCCAGCATCCCTGTTCCTCTGGCCGAATCCTGCTCTTCCCTCTCCGATCAGCCATGCGCAGGCAGCAGTCCCAGCTCAGCCAGGCCCTGCTTGTCCTCTAATTAATGTAATTAGGAAAGTCTCCCGGCTGGATGCCTGCAGCAGCAGTCGGAGCATCGCTTCCAGCTTCGCCGCCCACCCAGGGGCAGACCGGGCAGCCTGGAAGCTCAGGGAGATGTCGTCCCCATCCTGGGGCTGTGGGACAGGCTGGGGACACAGGACTTGTGGTGACAGGGATCGCATCCTGCACCCCCAGCCCAGACCAAGAGCGGACAAGCCCCCATGTGGGCTGCGGTGTGGGGGCACAGGGCAGAAAGGCACCGGGCTCCTGCCAGTGGGCACCGAGGGACCGCTCTGTGCCACCCCACTGCCCCTAGCCTGGGGTCCCGGATCCTGTCCCATTCCCCTGGCTACCTGCGGCCCTGGGAGTGCTGCCCCACCAAGCGCTGCCCCATGGCCAGGAGCCCGGGGCTGGCCACCTCCTGCCAAGAGCTGGGCCCGGCCAGGTGCCCCTGGCCTGGGGGTGCCCCCGGGCTGGGGGTCCCAGCCGGAGAAGGGCGATCCCTGCAGGCCCTGTCCCGGTGACCTCCTGCTCCCGGGGCCACACCGTGCAAACAGAAGAGCCGTGGGGCTGCACCCCGCAGACCCCAGCACCCCCCAGCCCTTCGCTCGCTGGGGACGACCCCGGGGCGCCCTCCCGGTCCCTGGCCACCCCCCAGCCCTGTGCCCCCGGGGTGGGGGTGCCCCTTGCAGGCACCGCGGTGGGGAGGGGCGGTCCCTGCTTCTCCTCCCCAGAGCTGGTGGCAGCTCCGGCGACTGGGACGGGCTGCGTCCCTTTTCTGGGGGGGGACCCGGGACATCCCGCCTTTCGGTGGGCCCCACCGCTCTGGCTCCTCCTTCAAGCAGCCCCGAGGCTGGGCCAACGCGGAGGCGGGGGGGAGGCGCCGCCCCAGCCCGGCCGGCATCGCCCTTTTAAGGAAGGGGAAATTCTTCACATAAACAAG